AAGGAAATTCAATACTTGACTTACGTGTCATTTCGCTTATGAGGATTAATCCCTGGTCTTCGAGATACTTCGTCGAGGACGTGTAACGCAGGCCAATCGCAGGCCTGCTCAGACCTTCATGGCCCATTTAACAGAGAACGTGCAACGTTAGACCGATTGTGGGTTATTTTCGAGTTCCATGAACCACTTCAATGTGGTTAGGGTCCGTTAGGCCTATCCATAGTTGCTCGAACCGTCTCGACTCGTTCGGAGAAGAAAATAACTTAAGAAAGCACGGCATCGTAAGCTGGCCGCCATTCTGTTAATTTACGGTTGTCGGAATTAGATGTCTCCGCATCCCATCAAATCAGTCGGCCACTGCTCGACACCATTTCAATATCAACTCATCTAATGAACTCAACTCATAATTATCTCTTGCATTAAAAAAAAATACAGAAGATCAGAGCCATCGCGCTAAATTATCAGAATGTCATTTCATTTTTATGGCGAAATGGTGCACTGAAAGCAACAGAAAGGACAATTTTTTCACCTCCAGGTCAATATCTTTCTCCGAAATCTTCTAAAGGAAATTCTACCCAGGGGGAAAGGAAAAAAAACCAGAATGAAATCGACATCTCCGAAAAGCGAGATTCAATGTTCTCCACAACCCCTGAGACATGGAGCTTCAAATTTGCTGGAGCGATTTTGTGGGGAGAGAGTAAGAAGTATGAAAATTGTCGTTCCTGTTGAGAGGAATACGAAACGTTTGAAATTTGTCGCTGGAAAGGCTGATGAATGATAATGGGCGCTACCAAAGCTCATTGATTTGCACTTAAATTGTTTCAGGGAAATTGTGAATCCCCCTTCACGACCACTACATGGCATCATGGTTCTCATTTATCGCACAGTACACTAAAGTACATTTCCCTCTTTCGCTTGAATCGATGATGGAATAGCAACATTGAGGGAGCCAATATTAGCCTATATTGTCAATATTGTCCAAGGTGTGGCCCTAACTTACGTCTCTAAGGTCGGTCCAGCATCGAGCCGATATCTGGTGTTAATGGGAAGCACTTTGCCGATGATATCCCCTGTTTGGCCAAATGATTGACAATTTTGGCCATACTCGGATGCTTTACGTCTTCTCTCAAAAAGCTGTCGTGAAGCGATGAGCTTGGGAAGAGAACTTGGTCAAACTGATTTCCCGTTCCGGACCGGATATCTCCATGGCTGTCCTTTTTCAAGTAAACATTTTCTTTTTAGCGATGAAAGACTTAGCACAATAACTTTCGAGGGAAAGCTTCTAAATTAATAAATAAGAAATCATATTTGAAACAGCTATGTTTTAGCACGTTCTAATGAAAAAAAAAATACTTCGGAGCTTCGAGAAACTGTCTCCACCCGATAAGAATCGTGACACCGTTCTTGCTGATTGTGGATAATTCTGTTCATTGGCGAAAAATAAATATTTCACTAAATACATAATATCGTGCATGGACAATACCTTCAATATTTCACAATGAGAAGAAACGGATATTACTCTAATGAAACAACTGGAATCACTGATACCTTATTATTGTATTTTCAAGATAAAGACGTGGATGCATGTACCACCTTAAATACCCAAATTATGCACGAGGTTATTCGATTAATACCTCAAGACGCAAACAACTTTTAAGGAGACGTTAGTATGCTCCCATTAAGGCACTCACTCGCTGTTGCAAGCAATCACCGCATGGAATCTTGTGCTGATGCCCATGACCCAAGAAGAGTCTCATGAAGATAAGCTAAATATATATTGCAGGGATTTCTTAAGTAACAGGTTTCTTCTTTGAGAAAGTAAGAAAATAAAAAAAGTTTTCTCGGTGTTTTGTGAGAAAAATCGTGGGCCCCTTCGCCAAACATATGATATTATCTGACAATGTAAACTACGAGGGTAGCTGCAGCTAATCCTGCTACAAACCAAAGGAAAAGACCTGTTGTCCGACAAGAAGTCACCATTTTATTCATAGATTTCTACTGTCATATTTAAGAGTGACAAACTGTCAATTGGTTATCACAGGTCTCGTTTCACCTTTGATTACTCTTGTCACACGATCCTGTGAATGAAGCATTTTTCGAACAAAGGCGAATGAATGAATTTCAGGAAATTCAGAGACAAGAAATAATGAACCACTTAGCGCATCAATGTCATACGTCAGAGTGTGCAGGGATTTACCCCTTGCAACTGTCACACACATGCACACACACCACACTTTTGTCGCCCGGCCTAGAAAGTGTCCAGTATCACGAACGCTATACGTTTAACCGGAGTTCCTCGGTTGCTAAGCAACCGATTTGAAGATATAATATTCTGTTTGCTTTGTGGTACATCGTTAACATGCAGAAGTGAGTCTCATGTTTTCCATTTTCAAGCTGTGAAGGTTGCATTCTGTCTGAATGCATCCAGTAGAATGGGATCAGTGTTGACCTCCCGTCGATGATCTCATTTCTTCTTGGGTATAATTTGCATGTGATTTTGCCGCACAATTGCTCTATGACATCGAAGATTGTGCGGAGGGCTATCCCGAGGCAGACACCAATGATTCCTCTGATGTTCGCCAGCGAATCTGTCAGAGAGACCTTCAAAAAAGGCTTTATCAACTGCGTTCAAATTTATTTCGGTCCATCGACAAAATGTGCACAACATAGAAGGTATAATGCGAATATCCCTTGGAACTCGGAGTCATGGAACTGAGAGCCATATGTGTCGATAGATATGATAGTGAGGACGACCCCGTAATCATCGCGCAACGATTCTCTTATCTATATAAATATTACGAGCGAGTTTGTTTGCCCTTCGGGCGTGACTATTTCGAGTTTCTGTATGTCTGTGATATGATATGATGTCTATGAACTCGCTTTGGTCGCGACTTCGGCGCTCCATTGTCCATGATGGTGATTCATCCATTGATTCATTTTCGAAGTGTCGAAAATGTATTAAAAGTATATCCCTGTCGAAATAAGTGGCATGATGGAACTTATTATATTTTTTAGCGAAATAATTACCCTGATGATTTCTTGTGTGCCTAACTCAAATCTCTTTATAATTCTGCCCTAAGGAGACATATTTGAAAAGTTGGATCTGCACTCGGCAACCGAAAAGGTACTTCTGCTCCTAGTTTCAACTTTCTATAGTTCTCTCTTTTATTGAATAAAAAAAAGAAAATAAAGAAGACAATGCGCTTTCTGCAAAAAATGTGCCCTCGAGGGTTCTACATTCTCTTTTTACTGAAGTCTGTGCTCGGAGAACTGAAACACCCACCAAGTTTCAGCCTTATCCGTTTGCCCTTCTCGCTGGTGCAAAAATATATTTGGAAAAGCCGACCCGGCCAAAAACTGTGCTCTGCTGGTATGCACCACAACAGTTGAATTTTTTCTCAACTCATCAACAATTCAGTTATGTGTTTGGCAAGTTTCATCTTTCTGTCTCTGTGCAATTCGCTAGGACAAAAAATAACTAATTGAAAACGTCACCCTAAAAAATATGCCCCCTGGGGATGCATCGGAAACTTGACATTTTTCCTGAACTCCGTGACGCGGTAGTCACTTTCATGCAAAGTTTCAACTTTCCATGTTTCTCCGTTTGAAAGAGGCAAAAAAATTATTTGAAAATATTTCCCCTCAATATTTGTGCCCCCAGGGCACAAATATTGAGGGGAAATATTTTTACTTTTTTTACTTTTTACAGGCATTTTACTCCAAAATCTGAGTTTTTCTGGACTCAGCATCCCAATAAGTCCAATGATTCAAGTTTCAAGTTCATACCATATGTAGAACAATGCTAGAATCGGCGTTACTCAGTCACTCGGTCACGATCATCCATCTATACTTACTATGTGATAGGAGAGCTGTAAGTCCGTAAGCCCGTACGTCTTGGTGAGGGGTGGGAGGCGGAGGGGGTCAAGGGCGGCGGAGGGGGGGCAGGGGGTGGGGGTGGGGGGCGAGGATTAGAAATCGGTTACCAGAAAGCATTGTAAACACCCCGGAGCGGGTACAGTGACGTAACAGACCTAAAACCATGGAGACCGAATCCTTTCATCGCTGAGTGCTATTTGTTTTCCAGAAGACTCCCCATTCCTATACTTCACGATGTGATAGGGGAGCTGTACGTACGTACGGTGTACGTGTACAGAGACGACGGCATGTCTGGACGACGGTTCGACGTAAACTGCTGACATGTTTGGTTTCATTCATTTCTCCCAACCCTTGGTCTGCAAGATACTTGCTAGCAGAATCCCAATTGAAGGAGCAATGCAATTCTTGAAATTAGACCTTTTGACTTGGAATGGCTCAACTAAGATAGTGCAGCAATTTCCTTCAATCCCATTTTTGATCGATAGCTTCAGTTTTGTCTCAAAGGCTTTGATGTGAACAAATATTTAATGAACAAGTTTTTAAGACGGCTGAAGTCTCACGTTCAGATCCTTCCAAAGTTTTATGTCCGAAATGCTAAAGCTTCTCCCTCATTAAAGAAACAATGCCCAACCGATTGCAAAATAATTTGAACTGCAATTATTATATATCTAGAAGCGCTTTTCGCCTTGATGCGACCACGTCGGAATTCTTCCTTTCGGGGAAGTGATGCATCGTGTGGTCAGTCTCAACGTAATCTTGAACATTTAGTTCTTCTGGCTCAGTACTTCTCTGGGTCTATTGTAGAGAACATTCGCAAAGTTGAAACACTTTTGCGACGAAGCAATGACAATGTTCTTTTTTTCCCTGTCTATTTCCTAATTCGCTTTTCTTAATCTGCAAAACATCTTCAGTCCACAGGCACCAGCTTGGGGTGTCAGTCTTTCGCATGCTCCCATACATGAGAATGCAGCAATTGTATCAGTATTATACATTTAAGTCAGAGGTTCATAGGTCGTTCGCGTGGAGTAAATTACAACTTGTTGCGTTCCTGTCAGAAATGCCGAAGTACATGGCAGTCAGTGCGACTAGAACAAACGAAAAAATTGAGGGTATTCTGTCAACTATATTGTTTATTCAGAAACTGGGCTCATTCTAGTGTCGCATTTTGGAGCGGAAATCTGTAACAATGAGAAGCGACCTAGGAGAGCCAGTTCGTTACTCATTAATCGAAGGTGCCGCAGTCTTGGAAGTCCTCTGGAACCAGGTCTGAGAAGGGCGTCCCATCGGGGCAACTACCCAACACGCTCTCCAAGAAGCCTGGATTATAAACAAGCCAGGCCATGCTGCAGTCGCACACGACGGGGTTATCTAAAACACGCGGGAGAAAAAGCAGATTTTAGAAGGAGTATGAAATTGGTATGAAGGTGGCATGGATGTGGGCAGTCGGGACACTCACGCTCCAAATCGATAGTCCCTCCCCCCAACGACAGGACCTCGACTATGGGCCAGAATGACTCTTCACTTAAGTATTCTATGCTGTTCCATGAAAGACTGATATTAGCATCCGTCGGGAAACCTGGAATGAATAAGGAAACGATGTTTCTCCAATCACCTCATAAAATGACATCCGAAAATACGTAAGGCATGGTGAGAACAGGGATAATGAGTTTCAAGCACACTCATCGCGCCCGCGCTAAATTGTACCTGAAAAGGCTTGAGGTTCTAGACCTGTGATTCCGTTCACTCCGATGGCAAGTTCTGGAATGTGTCCAAGGAATGCAAAGGAACCCTTTGAAAGAATCGGTCCCAGTTTGCATGAAGGACAAGAAAACAACTGCAAACTCTCGAAACCATAAAAGAATCCAGGCTCGATTTCCGCCACGGGATTTCCATCTGCAGGATATGAAAATCGTCTCATAGCCATTCACTTATAGGCGAAAAAAATTACCCCGTGACGAGTATGCAAGAGAGTAACCCCAGGCATTAAAGAGGACCCCTTGCCATATTCGTGTTCGATATGAGAGCTAGTTTCATTGATGCAACTTGACCAGTGAGTGGCGCAAGCGTTAGGAAGAGCCCAATACCCAACTGCTTGGATGATGATTTCCCCTTTAAAAAGCGAGTCGAGGTGGTACTAGGCATAGTGGAAAAGGGAATAGTACGAGCATAGGAATAGTGAATGAGTGGAAGCGGACGCGACATTAGTTTCTCTGAAAACCGATCTTGAAATAGACAGTAAATTCTTTTAAATTTTGCGTTGATGGAATACAAAAGGCCATGAAAAGCATTCAGAATGTAAAGACGTTATGAGCCGTTCCCGGCATCATCGCGATGTCGGGTAAGAAAAAAGGCTGAGGGGATGGCAAGGGAACGAAAGAAGGAAGAGACACGATTGGCGACGAGACGAGAAGATGGACTTCTGAGATTTTTTTCCGAAAAAAGTGCACTTCCATGAGAGCACCTGCATTGAAGAAAACCCCGAATACTAATCTATAGGAGAGTATAAATAATTTTGACTTGAAAAGAGAAGTTCAATGATTAAGTGCTGAGGATTCGACCTTCACGGTGCATCATATGAGCTCATCTTCCTTACATTCCTATTCTGTATTTTATTTGGTGCTCCCTCCTGGATTCACCGAAACGAAACGGCACTGTCTTTACCTTAATGTGAATTCGGAGGGCTAGCATGAAGATGTCGCTCTTGGTATGTGTCATTCTCGTGACGTTGCGAATGGTTAGGAAAGGAGATGCTTTCTTTATTTCTTGTGATAATGAAATGGAAATCAGATTATGTCCCTAGACTACTGCGAGAATTCAGCTTAAGATGAATGGACGTGCATTAGGACGGATGGGTGGTTTTATCATCACTGCTAGGAAAAACGATAATTTCTTTAAGTAAATCGAGAGCATGCCACCGCGTTAGGGAGATAGGCTTTACCCAGTAAGAAACGCAGCAAGTTCGGCGCAAACGACCCGGCTTCCAGAGCGGTGATTTGATTTCCATATATGTTCACTTCTTCCATACTTAAACTTTCGAATGGTGGCATTGCGGTGAATGCATTTGTTCCAAGTATAAGCATTTCGAATTTAGGGAAATCGGGTAACGCATCCCAGATAAATTCATCCAGAGAGCTCTGAGTGACGGTGAAACGTTCAAGCCTGTCTTTCGAGGCGAGCAGGTTCGAGGGGTGGATGGTCTTGAATGCGGTATTCGTGATGGAGATGGCAACGAATGACGCTTCGCCGAAGGTTCCCTCGGGCATTTCCTCGATTGCCTGATTGTCCGATATCAAGAAGGCTCTGGAAGAAGAGTCAAAACTTTCGAAGTCATTCAAAATAATGACTTTCATCCACACGATGTAAATCATGTGGATGCATATTTTTAGGGATACCAGGATGAAGAATGTTGTAAAATGGAGAGAGTGGATTTTCAGATTTAAAATAAAACTCTTTAATTCCCTCCCAAGCTTTTTCTCTCTTAGAATTGAATGCAGGAACCGAATGTCTCCGCTCATTTTCAAACACACGATCTTGTCCATCATTTTAAGGTACTGAAGGAAGATGGAAACGACCCTCCCAGAATTAATTCAGGGATAAAATTATAGTGGACCCCGAGGGAGGGGGCCTTGGAGCCAGGTTTTGGCACTCTCGAGTCAAGGACCTTAACCGTCAAAACAATGGTCAAAGGTCAATATTTGCATGCCTCTCGTTCAAAATCTGTCTTCCCGACACTTGATCGCAGAAACGTCAAATTTAGGCCATTTTCCAAAAAATATTAAAGGTTAAATAATAATGAAAAATATTTAAATGCGCTCACGTCTCTGCTTTCAGAGACGCAGTGACGGCATTTGTGAAATTTCGCGTTTCTCGAATTCGCTTCTTACTTCGCTCAATACCCGAAGATACATTGCATCGGGTAAAGCATGCGCCACTTTTTAGAGACCTTCCCCATTCGTCTTCGTGTCAAAGGGCACCATGATTCAATATGTAATTTTCGCAGGAAGTTCGAAGATATATTGCTACAAAATCGCCCTATTTTTGCATTGTTCCTCACATCTGCGGTCATTTCTATAAAACTAGACAAACAAATTCAAAATTTCCGCGGACATAATTGTGGAGCAGTTTCAAGTCCGTCTTCAGACGACCAGTTTACCCATCCCAGATTCTTGGGGATTTTATTGAACCCAAGTTTGAAATTTTACGGCATGTGAGCTATGTTTTGTGCATTTTTTCCTCTCTGGGCATGAGTTCTCACATAACTAACGATAAAAATTAGGGACACGTATAGAGATTTATCTGACGCTAAATTTGCATTTAAAAAATGTCAGTTTCAAGATAGACTCATTTCATCGCGTGAAACAGATACTCTTCATCCCTAACCAAATCAATAAACATGTTTGCAATTTTGTATGAACATTTGTGAATAATGGCTATCGTGGAGCAGTAGCAAAGTACTGCCAATTAGCATTTCGAATAAAAGTAATACCGGTACGTCAATAATAAAAACTATTTTGCTCCCCGTAGACTTCTTGCCGGTCGAATATCGATGACCATATGTTTTTTTTTAATAGCTACTTGGAGTGTTGATGAAATGCTCGAGAAAACAAAGGTTAATTATCATTTACATTTCGATCAGGTCGGATCGAGCAGGGCCGTGAAGTCGGGTAGGAAATAGGGTTTCGGGTCGGGTACGGGCCATGTCTTGAATGGAACCCTTTACCGGTACCGGAAAAGAGCCCCGTGCAGGACTCTACCAGAGGTAGCTTAGTGGTGAAATATTGTGCAGCTCATAACTCGTTCGGGGTTGAAGATATTTGAATTCTGAAAGCTCGATGCGCCCCTCTTGACCGTAGACTTTCGAAAGAAGCACAACATGTCTGGATATATATTTGCATAACGTCGCAACGCGGCTTAGAAACATACATTAGCTTCTAATATACAACGTGTCCCACATAGATAAAGCCCCCTCCACAGCCCAAACCAAAAGTGCTCCACATATGTATAATAACACACTGTAAAGCACATCCATCGATATTCTAACTATGTCTTTATCTTCCCCAGATGGCTTGTGGTGACTCGGAAAATTTGAGATATGTGGACCGCATCCGCACCGTCACTTTCCGAGAAGCGCGCGATGCGCATCTGAGTTCATTAGTCCATCGTGGTTCGCTAATAATATGGAAAGGTCCAACGTTTTGTGAAGAGAAAATGGAATGAAAACCTCTTGGAGTGTGAAATTTCTACTGCTCCTATTGCAATCAGAGGTCGTCGCACTTCGGACGTTTCTAGGAAGATCATCAGTAGCGAGGCCGGCAAACAAAAGTGTTCGAGTGCTGGCTAAGATCTTGGAGGAAGAGCGAGGAAAGACGCCAAGTCGAATGTCTGAGTCGGGAATTCCATGGGATGGGGTTGAAGCCATTCCATGGGATGGAGTTGAAGCCATTCCATGTCATCGAGAAGCCCTTCCCGTCTCCCGGCTCTGTTTCGCCGAGTTCCTCAAAAGCTGGGAAGAGGAGAATTCTCTCCCTCTTTGCCTCATCTGAATAATTTTTAATTTATGCGATCCGACACCCAAAACCATCAACATGACAGGGTGTGGGCAGTCTCTCCAAAGGACGTTAAAGATTATCAACGATTTCGTGGGATCCCTCGATGCCCAACATGCATTGGAACATTCGTTTGGTTTGAACCCACACAATCTTCTAAAAAGATTATGTGGGTAGCGAAGGAGTTCATTTCAGGAACTAGATCCAGCAGCACGTCATCCCTTTCCTCCGCGATCCGAGGAACTTCATCGGCGTGCCTGATGAAACTTATTTTCACGACCAGGCACCGTGCTTTAAGGCTCTCGCGACACCAGAGCCGCTGCGGAACTCCGGACTGGACATTTTCTCGTATGGCCCGGCTCCTCCCCCGACCTCAATCCGGCCGAACGTGTTGGAACTATCATCGATTAGGAATCGGAGAAGAAGCTCATTGAGACCGGAGACGGTTCCTTTGAAGCGAACAGTTAGAGACGTCCTCGAAGACCTCAAGAAAGATACTTGCCAGTTCCGCCGATTTCTTCAATCCTGCCCTGCTCGGATCAAGGCGGTTTTGGAAGCGCGAGGACACAGCGACCGTTAAAATATGTGCCCTAGAATAGTCCATGCAGCATTTTTGGTTTTGACTGTGGAGGGGGGCTCTCTCTAAATGGGATCCCCTCTACAATATGGAAGATCGCGACTGACGCTATTACTAACCACGTTCTAGTGAAGTTAGAAATATGAATTTCATAAATGACGTCACGGTGTCTCGGGGAGCAGACCGAAGAGTGCCTTCTTCGGTTTTTAATTTAATATTTTCCGCGGCAAGGAGAAAAACGTAAATTTGACGTTTCTGCGACCGAGGGTCGAGGAGACACACATTTTCAAAGAGAGGGGTGGAAATCGTGAAATTTGACTATTTGCCAGGGTCAGGTCCTTGACCTGAGGGTGCAAAAACTGGCTTTTAGGCCCTCCCTCGGGGTCCTCTACAATAATTATGAGCCAGAATTCAATTCCAGGTGGGTCAATTTTGATCTTCCCCTAGTGCCTTAAACCAGTTTCGTTTGCCCCTCAATGGGGTGAAGACTAAGTATATTAATTCATTAATTTATGGTAAGAAATGCGATTCCGTCCTTCAAATCTCACCCTTCCTCCTTC